TGCAGGGATGCTGAGGTACTGAAGACGGTCACTAGGGTTAATCAATTGAAAGATTTGGGTATGTTGCAGCGCAACTGTTTTTTACAATCTGATCGTCTTCGCATCAATGATCTTGTTTTCGGATCGTTTCATGTTTTTCAGCGCAATTACTGGAGCTGGAGAACAAAATCTTGCCCTTCATCGTTGCGGCATCCGGAAGAGTTGGTTCTGAGACACCTATCAAGTGTGAGCACAGCGGCATACGGGGCGTTATTGTGGAGGAAACGGTGAGTGTCGGCTGGTATTAGCTTGAAATCGTTTCTCTTTTCAATGTTTCAGTGATTTGGTGTGTAATTCTCTTGAGTTGTGAATGGATGATCCCTCAGGCGGAACAACATTTTCTGAAACATAATGAGACTGGTTCCTGGGTGCAAGATAGTGCACTAATGCTGTCAATGAGTAAGGAGGTTCCTTGGTATTTGGTAAGCCTGATGCCTCAGCTGCAGTTTGATACTCCTACTTAGCTATAGCCCCTACTGGGAGTCCATACATTCATTTACCAACCCCAAAATCATATGCTGTAGGATGATGGGACTAGTCGTGTACATGTGGTGGGAGCCCGAGGTGCAGCTGGCTTTGCATTGACTGTCGGAAGTGAAGTATTTGAAGAGTCGGGCCGTTCACTTGTACGTGGAACTCTAGATTATCTCCAAGGCCTCAAGGTTTTCCCTTTCTCCTTTGTTTTTATTAGTCTTGATTGTGCTGTTATCCTGTTTGGTTAAGCTAGTTTTGACTGTGCGATGATTTTCTGTAGATGCTTGGAGTAAAGCGCATTGAGCGTGTTCTTCCAACTGGTATGCCGCTTACCGTTGTTGGTGAGGTAAGCCTTATTTTGATTTGTCAGAGTGAGCTGTATCTGTTGATAGGAACATGCGGCACAATCTATAGAACTTCCTTGCGTGTCATACAACTCAATTTACTGGATAACTGGCAAGCACTTGAAATTGCTCAAGTTTTGCACAATTTACCTGTTAAGACAGTTCTCATAGGAAGTTGTGTATTTTTACATGTACGATAGGCTGTCAAAGACGATATTGGGGCTGTCAGGATTCAGAAACCAGACAGAGGGCCTTTCTATGTCTCTCCTAAATCACTTGATCAACTTATTTCTAATTTGGGGAAGTGGTCAAGGTCGTTTCTTTCTCAGCGCTCTTATTTTCTTATACAAAGAGACAACTATGAACAAGAATTACTAAAAGAACCTTTTTCTACAGGTGGTACAAGTATGCTTCAATGGGTCTAACTGTTTTTGGTGTGTTTCTAATTGCAAAGCATGCCATCGAGTATATGCTAGAGAGAAAGCGGCGGCGTGAACTGCAGAAAAGGTATGTCCGAATGTATCGCTAGTGGAGCCATCTATTTCGTTGTTTATTACTGCAAATGGAATTAAGCTGTCAGATCATGTTGTTGCAGGGTTCTTGCTGCAGCTGCTAAGAGATCAGAAGCAGACAGTGAAGGTATCTATCTGTCATGTGTTGTGTGAATCTCTTATGGGTCTGCTTGTCCAGATCTGACCCCAAAATTTCTCATCAGGTCCAAACGGAAGTTGTGAGAACAGTTCAGATGTTACTAGGAAAGAACGTGCTATACCTGATCTTTGTGTGATCTGCCTCGAGCAGGAGTACAATGCCGTTTTTGTCCAGTAAGTTCTAGCTCTGTCTTCTCCTTTTTTGAGAACACACTCATTATCTTGAACTGTCTAATTAGTTGTCTGTTTCCTAATGGTATTATCTAGATCTGTACTGAGGGTAGATTTGTTTTCGGTATTAAATTTTATGTACCCTCTGCTTCATACTGGCAGGTGTGGCCATATGTGCTGCTGCATGAATTGCTCGTCGCATCTGACAAGCTGCCCTCTTTGCCGGAGGCGAATAGATCAGGTGGTGAAGACTTACCGCCATTGAAGAACTCCGTCTCATCCTTCAGATCATTTGAAGTGGAAAAAAAAATGCAATGCATTGAGCTCAGAGAATGGAATGTAAATACTGAAAGCAAACCTTGCATTTAGTATATTTCCTTGGCAAGGCAAGGCCTCAACTAGCTCACCAAGAGTAACATTGTCTTTCCAAAAGTTTGTTCGAACGAGTAATTGAGATTTTTTATATGTTAATGGTTCAATAACTCGATTTCCAGGTTGTGTGCTCTTGCTACACACACACACACATACTCCAGTTGATACTAGTCTTATTCATTTACCAAGGCATGTCTTTCCTAATAATGTAGTCAAGAATCGCTATCCAAACACGGTAAAATATCCGGAGAAAAAAGACCTTCAGCCTCAAGAAACGACAAAATTCCACTTGGAGGAGAAACATTTAACTCAAAAGTCTTAATGACAAATATTCCTGCATCTCCTTTTTTTGCCTTTCCTGAAAGGCCTAAAGCAAGCAAGTGAAGCAGAGAGAGTGGAAGCCCGCTTTTTCCTTTAAGAGTTATAAGGAAGACCAAAGGCTAACTTTCATTGGTTCTATATTACCCCATTCCCCAAGCATAGAATCAAAGCAAACCAGCCAAAACCCTTGTTTTCTTCTTCAAATACACAACACCACAATACCATTCTCATAAACAAGAAAAACCCAGGAAAAAAACTTTTTCGTAACGCAGAATGCAGAGAAGAGACGAAGATACCAGTGGATACCTGAGGCCTCCTGGGATATGTCGCCGGCTGTTTAGTCTGGTGGTGGCTAAAATCATGGCCAACCGCTTTAGGAGAGAGACATTGGGGCAAGGCGAGGAGGAGGTGCTCGTATCGAATGAGGTGAAAGAAGATGGTTCTGCCAGGAATAAACTGAGCAAGAAGGAATCAAGGTCTGATATCATAATTCATTTCAAGCAAAAAGAAGACTCAGAGGAAAATGGTAAGCCGGCAAACAAGCTCGGCTCTTCCCGCCATGAAGCAGAAAAAGAGACGCCGATCAAGCTGGTTAATGGCAACGGACGAAAGAAGACAGTTAGCATAAATGAGAAAGGAAAAGCCATAGTTAGTGAGCCTAGCCCAATGCAACCGGTGGCTCTACCTGCAAACGGGAAATCAAAGCCTCAGAAGCACCATAGGCCGCTTCTAAATGTGGTTTCAAATATTAATGAGAAATCAGATGCTTTTATCCGTAGTAGAAAGGAGAAAATGAGAAAAAGCCTAGAACCAAAGACATGAACATTCTTCTTTGTCTTCTTCTCTCACTCTCCTCTCTGTATTGCAACATGCGGTAGGGGAAGAACCTGGTAAGGCAAAGCCCTCTCTTGCAAAGAAATAAGTGTTCTCTATCTCATATGGCTAGAGAATTTAATTGATTCAGACACTAAATCTTCACATGTTATTCTGAAATTCTTATATATTGTTTTTCTTTATTAGCTGCATTCTTGATAAATGATGTCTATGTACTCGCGTTCCTATTTAAGACAGAAGTTGCATAACCCCAGATTTCTATTGATTTGTGAGCAATTCCCTCAAAGTTGTCGAATACCTTTACTTGCAGCAATGGCCATGATATGTTTCATACTCCATGCTCTTTTCACACGGAGAAGCTGAATGGAGAAAAGTAATAGGATAAGAGAATGAATCTGCATTTTCTTCTATAGACAATAGCCCCCCTGGTGATGTTCACCATAAGATACTAGAAAAGTGGAAAAAGTCCTCTAGTCCCATCATGAGATCCAAAGATTCCTACTCCGTTCTTTGAAGCCATCCAAGCTGTAGTGAAACAAGGAATCTTTAACGTCAGACACAACAAATAATAATTTCCAGATAATTATCAATCCAATTCCGAAGAAGCAAATACCTTCCAGGCATACATTGCAAAGAAGGCAACAGTATCAGCAGACCAGACAACAGCAAATGACTTCCAGAAGAAGGGTATCACAACGTTGAGCAATGGGATGAGCAGAAACAAATAGTTAAGAGCTTCTTTCTCTTTGCTCGAGCAATCTCGTGCTCGAAGAGAAGGAATTGCTGCAAAAATAGAAAATAAACAAAAGAACAGGCTAAACAGCCAAAAAACTTCATTATGCAGCTTGGGATTGAGTTGAATCCTGGGAACAAAACTTACTGAACATCCAAATGGACCACATGCCCATCAACCTCCATATATCAGGTTCATTTGACGGAAACAGGAGGTTGAATGACAGAACTCCTCCGAGCACCATTGATGCATATCCTTGAACCTCAAAAACTTTGTAAAGGGTAGTTCCGGGCACAGCAGGGTTTTTATTAGCAGTTGAAGCCCTAGGTGCAAAGGTTGCTGCAGTCTTGTTGACTACCTGTTTGAAATGAAGGGGAAAAGACCCTCAAGATGAACAACAGCTTGAAGAGCGTTTTCATCAGAGCAGAGAAAACCTGCAAATCGATATAGGAAATCCCGCACCTTTTTCAGGTCTTTACCGAATAAAGGAGGCGCAGAAGAAGAGGAAGTAGAGGAAGGAGAAGGCGAAGCGGCACTGGTTTCTCCAGTTTCAATCGGTTCTGCTTCCTGCCTCAGCTCCTCCTTCGCTTCCACACCGTCCGAGCTCGCGCAAATCCTGAAGATTCCGGCTCGAGATCTTCTATGGCGAAATGCATCTCTACAATTCGGGTTGGAGACAAGAGCCATCGACGAGACCCCATGGCCGCACAAAGACCGAGAGATTAAGCACCAGTTCATCCTCTACAATGGTGATTTTCCCTCCTCCGTCCGATTCTCACGGAGAAATCAAACCAACACGCGATAAGGAACTGGCGATGACCGTTGGACGGCTTTGAAACGACAGCGTTTGTGATGACTGGAACACTGCCGAGAGACGCGGACACAACATAAAAACGCCGTTGAGTTCGACGGCATTCAATAACATTACCGAACCGGTAAAAACAATTTCGATCCCAATTGCCGGTTTAGTAAATTATTTTTGGACCAACAAATTAAATCCGTATTTACCGTATCAATTCTCATAGATTTATTCACAATTTTATATATGTATATATTGTTTTGTATGCATTCTACAAAGCTCTACCAATTAATAGAACCGGTAGTACTATACCGGTTTGGAGTGGACCTGATCGGTTTAAAAATTTGTCGAAAATCGTTAATAACGCTAAACACGTAGATTCTTGCGAAAGAAATCTATGCCCGTTTTGATCCGTTCGTTCATTTGCATTTTGCTCCTGGATTTAGATTTTTGAATTCTGAAATTCGAAACCTTTCAAGATTTAGTTTCTTTCTCGCGTAAAAAGCAGGGTTTTTTCTCGGTGATCGTCACCGGCGAGCCGAGGGTTTGAGCTTCTTTGGGGGTTTTCCGAAAATTTGAACTCGAAACTGGAAAGGGATCTATTGAATTCGATGAGAGTTAAGGCAAGATGCTCATGGCGAAATTCTTGGCGGGATTCCTGTTGCCCTCTCTGCTTTTAGAAGGTACGTCAGTGCTCCTACTTAATGCCGATCTTAATTTCTTTTGAGGCGTATAAATATGATTTAGACGATTGAAGAATTTAGAAAATCCACTTGATTGGCTTACATCTTGCCATGAAGATCGAAGTTTGACGGGTTTTCGATGCCCAATACGTTTATTGGGTCTCTTACGAACTGTGGAATCGTGTAATGTTCTTCCGTAGAAATATTTCCCTTTGACTTTTGTTCAAATGACAAATGCCGCTATATTCCGTGGCTTTGGATTTCTTATTTCTTTCTTGTGCGTCCTTACTCCTCAGGGCTCATTCAATTATTGCCAGTTTTTAGATCGTCACTTTACTCCTTAGGGCTCATTCAACAAAGAGATTGATGTTACCTGGAGTAGTCCAGGGTTTTTCATAATGGCTTCCTTTTTGTTGCAGCTGCACTTAGTAACTGGAGTTCAATCTCCTTTGATTACTTATTGGCTTTCCTCCTCGTCCACTATAAAGCTCCTGAAATCGGTAAGACAATGTTGTTAATTTACTGACTTCCTCACAACAAGATTTTTCATCTTTGTTTCCATAAGCAAACTTTTAGCTTCTTGTTTTCATGGTAATGCACATATCTTTGACCTTGGAGCGTAGACCCTGAAATAGAATTGTTGCTGTTTCCAGCGTTCACGGATATTTTATTTCCAGATCTAGCTGTTTAGATGATGTTAATTTCTCAAACTTGCATTTTTCTTGCCTTTCTTTTGGCAGGATACCGTTTTCAGAGGGCGCGCTGGCTGTTATGGCTTATTATCATATTTTCCTTTACTGTGCTTCTACCTCAAGTGATATACCTTGTTTTATGGGCTGTTGTGGGTCAAGAGTGGAACGCAGCAGATACTGGCTGGATGAGAGTCATTGGCTTTATGATGTAAGAGTTAGTCTGATTCTTTAATTCGATGGTAAAATATCTTTAAGCTTCCCATGTCATTGTTTTCTTCCATGTTTGCTTTTGCAGATTACATTCTTGGAGCCACCCCACTGTAATATATTTCCTGGTTTTTCAACAATTAACTCTGCTAGTTTCTCTAGCTTACATATACAGTAGTAGATTCAGTTTTGTTCAGTGGCAGGACACATGTGGTCTGAGTTTTCAGGAATTTTCGAACAGCTAGGTTTGTAAGTTATTCAGTTGACCTTTATGGTTTACTCATGTAACTATTGTATTCTTTCTCATTTTTTGTTCATCAAGTTCAGTAATGTTCATTCTAATTAGAATATGCACCATGTCCTTTTTTCTCTTTCTGGTTTATTGTGCAACTTGGTTTACTTGATTATGAAATGATTTGATGGCTCAATATGCTCGTATAAATTTCAGTTGTACGGTTGTATACTTGTGCCTACTATTCCATCCTTAATTTGTATGAATATAGGGCTTGGCTAAGAACTAATTGAGAACATTCTCGAAATTTCTTGTCATCCCTCAGCATTTTAAAAAAGTTTTAGTCGAAGAATTAGCAGTCTTTTCAATTCTTGTGGTGTTTCTTGGTGTTTGTAAAGCAAGATATTTGCTTTCTCTTATTTGTAAAGCAAGGTATTATCCCTTTTACAATGCGACTAGTATTAATTTGAACCAAATCGTAGAATGGTTGTTCTCTGGAGCTATGAAGGAACGAGATAAATCATCTAACGTAAGTAATACTTCGCCCAAACTGAATGTGTTGATTTAATTATAAATCTTGACCTTGTTGGTTTCTTCCAAATTTTGCAGATCTGGTGTGAGGCACGCCAATGTTTTACTGAGGGGAGCAGTATTCAGGACTTTCAGTATCAATTTTTTCACATATGGTTTTCCGGTGCATAATATCTTTGTTGCCTGTTTAACTTGTTTGTATCGCAAAATTGGGTAAGCAAAATACTTTCGTCAGGAAACTTACTCCCTTTTTTCTCTTTTCAAACGACTGCAGGTTTCTCTGTTTGCGATTTCATTCTGGAGTTTTCATTTTGCAAGTGTATGTGCTTTCGGGCTCCTGGCATATGTTGGCTACATTATCTATGCCTTCCCATCATTGTTCCAGTTGCACAGATTAAATGGTTTGCTTCTTGTGTTTATACTCTTATGGGCTGTCAGCACATACATATTCAATGTGGCTTTTTCTTTTCTGAATGCTAAAGTTGGAAAGGTAATATCTCCTTCAACATGAAGTTTAAAGTATTTGATTTTGTTAAATTAAGCTGAATAGTCAATAGTGGCATTAACATGCAGGACATGGTGATTTGGGAGATGGTGGGACTTTGGCATTATCCGATACCTGGATTCTTTTTGATTGCGCAATTTGGTTTGGGCATGTTGGTTGCCTTGGGCGATCTCGTGAATAACTCTGTTTTTCTTTACATTTTGGATGAGGGTTCCAGATCTTTTGACGACAGATCTCATCCTGAAGGTAATGGCTTTTGTTTTTCCCAAGTGCTTATGCTCTACAAAATTAACAGCCATGGATTCTTGATTTCCCCTTCTTTCTCTGTCTCCTAGAATCGTGACTCGGTCTGGTAAATTTTTAGTTTCCACACTAGCTAGATATACTTATTAATCAAGGTCACCGTAGCACTTTTTTCTTTTTTCATTTGAACAAACTTCTAAACTGCCTACTGTTTTTTATAAGAGTTTACACAATCCAGAATATGATTCTATGAAGTACATTCCGATATTTTAATCATGGAAGATAAATCTGTATATACTATGTGCTATTGAAGGTGAATGCCTTTAAGGGAATTTGTTTCCCTGGCTAACATATCTAGTTTTGGGTATGCCTTTCTCCGTTAAATATGCCTTGTTAGTTTCCATATTATATTTTTCATTCACTCTGGACATTGATCATTTGCATTGCATTGCATTGTCATTATCATTAGACACAGCTGATGAAGAAACAAAGGTGTTGGTTGTTGCAACTGTTGCATGGGAATTTGTTTCCCTGGCTAACCTATCTAGTTTTGGGTATGCCTTTCTCCGTTAAATTTGCCTTGTTAGTTTCCATATTATACTTTTCATTCACTCTGGACATTTGATCATTTGCATTGCATTGCATTGTCATTATCATTAGACACAGCTGATGAAGAAACAAAGGTGTTGGTTGTTGCAACTGTTTCATGGGGACTGCGGAAATGTTCTCGAGCTATTATGCTTGCATTGATTTTCCTCATTGCCATGAAACCTGGGTTTGCCCATGCTGTGTATGGTATGTTCTCTGATCGTTTCTCTCTATCTTGCTTTGCTGTTCTAATTAGAATTCATTTATCTGGTTGTTGAAATCGCTCTGCAGGAAAAGGACTCTTTAAGCAGAGAAATTTTGTTTCAGTTAGGTATGTGTCTCTCTGTTTTTTTTTTCCACTGTTGTAGGCTTGGTCTCCCGTATGACCAGTTTCTTTGGAAGCTTGTGCTGCATGGTGATGTTAGAGACTAGAGTAAAAAAGAGAAACAGAGAAATTGGCCCATTGATATCCTTCTGTGTTGATGAATGCAGGTCTGCTTAGATCTGAAAGCTCTTGGGATTTCTTGGAGATAGTGTTACCGTTACTTGCCTGCTTCTGTGCAAACCACAATCATGGTTTTGAGATGCTATTTTCCTTCTCAACGATTGTACGCCACACCCCAAGCCCTCCCATCGGATTTAGCATACTGAAAGCTGGTCTGAACAAATCGGTCCTTTTTGTCTGTGTATACATCGCCATTATCAAGTTATAGCCCTGATAATACTTCTTACGGTAAAACATTTGCCTTGATCTCTCTTGAAGTGAGTTCAAAACCATGTCTCAACATTTGCATGAGGAGCATTTTTCTTCTTTATTTTGTACTTGCTTGCAGATTCTCGCTTTCATGGTGAGCTATTTGTTCTCTGTTCTGCTGTCAGATGATATTTCTCAAAGACAGTTGCCATATCATCTAGAATTCTCTATTTGAGGCCAGGCATTGAGCTCTGAGTCTTGTCATTGTTTCTCTTACTGTTAACTATCTAATTGATCAGACAACTGACCTGATAGTAGGTTTAGTCGGATAAAATGGCTGCTAATAACCTAATCCATTATGTCCTAGAAAGTTACCTGCACTGACTAACTGTGTCACTATATATGCCTAACAAGATAAACAATTATGTCTGGTGCAATTAGCTTCTTGTTAGGAGCTCTAGGTTGGAGTTGCAGGCTTTGAAATCTAAGTTGTGCATTCTGCCTAACATCTTAAGATTGTTTTTACATTGTTTATTTTTTCTTTATCATAACTATTTTTTAACAATATTTTTTTATTATCATAAACATTTTATACCTGCTATCTTACTGTTTAGTTTTTTTGTGTTTCTTTGCAGAGAGACGTATTGCTTCATTTTTGAGTG